CATCCATCCATCCATCCATTTTCTTTACCCGCTTATTCCATTTTGGGTCACGGGGGTCGCTGGTGCCCATGTCCAGCAATCACTGTGCGAGGGGCGGGGTACACCCTGGACAGGTCGCAAGTCCATCACAGGGCCACATAGAGACAAACGAGACAAACAACCATTCACTCTCTCACTCACACCTAGGGACAATTTAGAGTTACCAATCAGCCTAACATGCATGTTTTTGGTCTGTGGGAGGAAACCGGAGTACCCGGAGAAAACCCACGCATGCACGGAGAGAACATGCAAACTCCACCCAGAAGGCACCTGGACCGGGGTTTGAACCAGGGACCTGTTCGCTGAGAGGCAGCAGCTCTACCAGTTGTGCCACCGTGCTACCCATATATATATATATGTACATAAAAATTCTAAAATAAACTATTACTTGTACTACTATCCCTACTTCGCGGTTTTTCACTTCTTGCGGGGCTTCAGGGTACGGATCCACCGCGATAAACGATGGACTACTGTATTCCTGCGGGGAGGAACTGGCTGTACTGGAAGTGCCACAGCTTGCTGCTGCTGCTTTTGGCACATGCATTTATAAAATAGTGTTTGCATGAAGACTAGTAATATATTCTCCAAACTGAAGCCACTCAAAGAGCTTTCTACAACAGGTAAGATACTAATTGTCTTTCATTTTTTTCATGGAGCCCTTCTTCAAAAGATCTACTGTAAACTTGTGACTTAACTTCAATTTGTTTTCCACCTTTTAAGTGAAGCAGGAACTGCTGCATTTAGATTAACACAATAGTCTCAAACCCGTAAAACTTCAGGAGAGATTTTAGTTCAAAGTTGAACAAATTGGTGCATTTCACCCAAGCAAGGCACCACATCTGGCAGTCCAGGGTTGCCAGATTTACATAATCACATGTTTTCCCCTCCTCCTTTTCTCTATTCTGTGCACATGTTCATCAAACACAATGCATGACTCATTTTACAACACAGCACATGTGACAGTTTGGGTCAAAATATTATAATTTTAAAGCAACAGTACAATAGTTCATCATTGCTTATCTGGCAACCCTGTGACCAGCACCTCTGACATTATTTGATTCACACATGCAGAAGTGAGCAGACGCTCTGGACTAAAACCATCAGAGGACCAGAGGTACAGCAGATGCAAACACTTAATTATCATGTCGTCTTCACCCAGCCATGGAGTGGACACTGAGCACGACCAGCGATATGCAAGGAGATCAATCTGATCTGAACAGTCTGTCACAAGTTAAGCTCACACTAAAGTGTCATAATCTGGATTAGAACAGGATTTTATTTTTGAAGGAGAACCTTAAAGGGGGCACTATTGCATCTGGGCTTAAAATAAAAACAATCACCCAAATCAGATTTTAACGAGCTGTAAAACTGGAGACTTTCAGAAACATGAAAAAGCACATTTATTCAGCCTTTTTTTTTTTCCTACAGCGTTATTTTCCAAATGCATTCTAAGTACTTGGCAAGTTTTACAGTCGTAATGATTTGAATTTACTGTTAACGATAAAAAGGCAGATTATGTTTTTTACACGTGCAACTCGGACCAATCCTTCGCCTTCCTCTGCATTAACCTGTACACGGTGACCACAAATGGCTAGCTGTGTTTTATGTACAAGTTTGCGACCTGATTCCTGTATTTGTTGGCGAGTTAAGACTTCTGCGTTTCATTTACAGCGCGTGAGAATATAGAAACAGGAGCGATAGGTCCGCTCGCTGTCCACCCATGCACGATGGTCACGGATGATTTTTGTATCACTGATCAGCTGATCATTCTCTTCATGCCAAGATGCTTCATCCACTGCAGCGCTGCCACACATGCCAATTTTTAAATTTAGCTCTCACTGGCAAGGCTTTTTAAAATTTATTTAAATATTTGGAAATATTTAAAATTTTGGTCATCTTTTTTACATTTCCCTCTATTTTTTCTCATCCCTTCATGCAGCAACACTGGGTTTGTTACATTGCTGAACATGATTGAAAATAAAAATAAAAATACATGGTGGCTTCAAGTAGGTTTGTATTTACAGCAGTAAGGCCCGTGCACTAAACGGTGATCAGAGGTGATGTTTTAGCCTGAATGCCGACACCAGTTCAGATGAAGTGGCTCCAGCTGGAGTCGGTACCGTCAGCAGGAACCAGATTTTTCACAAGTATTGCTTCACTGTAATTTGACGCATCTCTGTCAGAAGAACATGGCCATAAATTTCTGTTCAAGCTGAGGTATAACTGAAATACAAGTACACATTTAGTCAAGTTTCAAAGTTTTACAACACTTTCACAGCTTGAGCGCTGCTCTGTCGTCGTGGTAGCATGGACAGCCCCGATCAGGAACCTGTTCAGCTGCTTGTCTTCATCAGAACATCAGAGCCTTCTCGTGGCTACATGCTCCCAGACGTCTCCCCGCCATCACCAGAAATGTTCAAGTTAGAGCCCGAAGCCGCGTTGTTACCCGGAAACATCTTTTCAGTGGGAGTTACAGCGGGGCTGCCGACCCCCGACGAGCTGGAGCTGCTCGAGCGGTGCTGCGTGGGAGAGGGGCGCAGCGGCCTCATGGAAGGGGGGCGCAGCTGAGCCCCCACCATCCGTGCAGAGAGAGCAGGTTTGAAGGTGGTCATCATCTCTGAGGTGGAGCTGCTGCTGCGGCGCATCGCTGCATCCGGGTCACGGATCACGATGGTGTGAAGAGGACTGCCGGGCTCCGAGGTAATGGGGTTCTTCATCGGCTCCAGAGTGTCCAGAACCACGTCGGGAGCCTGTTTGACGGTGTTTTGTCGCTCCAGCTCACGCAGCTCATGGAGAGCAGTCGTCATAGTCTTCTCTATATCCTGAAGGGAAGACACATGCGTTCATTATATTTGCTGGCGTGTTTGTGTTTTTTTCTACCCCTGACGTTAAAGAAACAAAAGACACCAAAACAGGCATTACATGCTGTCAGTCATTTGATAAATTAGTACAGTAGTCCCTCGTTTATCGTGGGGGATCTGTACCCTGACACCCCGTGATAAGTGAAAAACCGTGAAGTAGGGATAGTAGTACAAGTAGTAAGTAGTCATTTATTTTAGTATTAGACACACAGTAGTCCCTCCCTAATTCGCGTTTCATTTTTCGCAGACTCGCTCTATAGCGGTTTTTCAAAATAAGATTGGACATGACACATGGCTGATTGATGGATGAGCTGCATGATCGGCATGGAATATTTATTTAAAATGAATTATTTTTAATTATTTAGCACCTCCTGCACTTTTGTGCAGCCCATACTGCAGGATAAGCTTCTTGCTGCAGCTGATCAGCTGCTCTACATGCAGAGCAAAGTGGGCGTGGTCAAGTGCTACAATTAAAGCTTGCAGGTGGCTGAGTGCAGCGGAGGCAGAGAGAGGGAAATCATGACATTCTGTGCTCATTTAGAACGTTTAGAGTTTAAAAACTGTTTAGAATATTGTAATAGTGTGGAAAGGGTTTAAAATGCCTTTACTGTATATATATATATATATATATATATAT